CGTGACCGTGACGTCGAACTTCATTATTATTATTATTATTAACAACAGAAAGAAACATGTGACGTTTTTATTTCTTAACGTTTCTATTATTAACGACACTTACACGGAGGAAAATAATAACTAATTAAGCATAATATATTTATCAAAGTTATCAATATTATCGTCTCGACCAATCGCGTTCGATTTGACATCGGGCAGTCGGATGCGTTGACCGTTTAATGCTTTTTTTTAAACAGAAATGTATATTTATCCTGTATTAATACGAGAATTTATAAGAATATCCTAAAATACTCTATCATAAATTTAATAGAGTTCATTCGAATTTCGATCGTCCTACGTCGATGATGATGTCAATTGACGTATTTCTCTTCGAATACGGAATGGTTCACGTCACGTGATTGTATATTCATATCATGAAGTAATACGTATCGATTTATACCGGTTAGAATTAATTTATATTGAAAATGCAACACTTAAATAATAATAATAAATAATAATTCATTATTAACGATTACGTTACGTTTGCCCTGTTTTGAACTATGTATTTATAACGCGCTATATCATTGGTCCATTAGGTTTCGTCTATGATTTTTAGCAAATGGCGACTGGGAAGAATCGTTTTAAAGAGATTTTTTTATTTATTTTTCCTTTCTATTCAAAAACGTAAGATGCATTAATTCAGTATTTTTACTGAGCCGAATTGCTACCGGTGAAGAAATGCAACGTCACACCGGATAGAGTATCGATTGTGTTGCCATTGTGATTTACGTGTAAATTTTTGCGATACAAAATGACTGTAGAATTAATTAAGAACACTTACACTTTGCATCTCAATGGATGTCATTTTAAAACCGAGTAAAGTTTGCCAACCGCATCGAGTAGTAATATAATCATGGAAGTTGGCAACGTAAACAAAGATCATATTGTCAATTCGTCTGCGTTGTTGTACAAGTTGTTTCATCTGTATTCGGGGCGATTATTCTTTTTTGATTCTTCTTGCTCCCGAAATATGCGAAAAACGCGAAGGTTTGCGGTTTAAGTGTTTCTAACAGAAACCCGAATCCGTTTAACCGGCATTTTCTTTTTTTTTCTCTCTCTCCCCCTTTTTCTTTTGGACCGATTCGGAATCGCGTGCTTCAGCCAATCGCCATCCGGCAAATTTAAAAATTTAAAAAAGTATTTCGAAAACTACGCCGTTCCCGATTGGTTTGCTCGTTTTCGAATCGTCCAATTATCGACGATTACAGTCGACTCCCCTATAAAACGGTTGATAATTCCGTTTTATTTGAATTCCGTGTTGTACGAGTCACTTAGATTTTACAAATACGTGTGCCGGGCTGTGAACGGCTCACGTATTTGTAAAATCTAAGTGACTCGTACAACATGGAATTCATATAAAACGGAATTATCAACCGTGTTATGGGGGGGTCGACTGTATAGACTTTCCGACGTCGGCACGCGTTATAGACACTCTTTTTTTTCCCCGTTCTTAAATGGTTGCCATCCAAACATTTAATAAAGCAAGCGTGTTTAAGACAAATTGCATGACACAGTAGCGATCGCACGCGTACATTTGGCGGAAACGATTACGAACCTAAAAAATCCAACCAGTCGCCGAACGATTTTTCTTTTCCGTTCCTTACCGCACACGCAATCGCCGCCACGATTTTCGGATCTTTTGTTTCTCTTCTTTCTTCCTAAAATAACGGGGACGAATATGGCAGCCATTTCTGGCGAAAAATCGACGAAAATCGATGGACGAAACGAATCGAAACTGTGTTTGAAAAGTCCACAACCGATAAAAAATGGCGGCCGCACCATTGCTATAAAGGGGATATTTACCTGTAAGTCGTACACGCCGGTCATTACGCTAGAAGTTCCAGATTTATTGATTCGCCATCGATTACTTTTTGTTTGTTTTTTTTTTTTTGATATTCCCTCCTTTCCCGCTTGTATTTTATCCTTTTTTCTCTCCCCCTTCCCTTCCGATACGGATTTGGTTAGATGCAATACGCGTGCCATTTCCATAGAGGGTTCAACTTTGCATCATGTCAGCAAAGACACGATTATTCGCTTCGATTTACCGCTTTTGCCTAACCGTTCTGCAAATTTCCTCATCCGAAAATACCGGAAAAACACTAAAAAAATGTGATTAAAAACGATTTTTTTTTTCTGGCGGATAAATTGGTGCGGGAGATCTGTTTACAAGAGGCTCTCTCTTGTTACTCGCAAGCGGGCGTTCAGAAATTAATTGCAACAGGAGCAACTCAGAAAAACTGTTCGATAGGACCACACGAATTAAGATTACATTGTTGAATCCCAAAGGCATAAAAAGCTCTAGTGTATATTGAAGTCATAAGAGGTTAGGTAAAGGTCCAATAGTTCTTTGGATGCCACCTCATTGTTCTATTAAACAGAAGATTGCGTGCTGTAATAGTAGAGGACAGAAATCTAGTTGACCGACGTTGGAATGATGTCAGACCATCTGGCATAGAGTAGGTCATACGATTTTAGGTCAGTCGGACAATTCCGAATTGGCAAATCCGTATTCCTTGCTTTAGATTCCTCCAGGTAAAATACGGAAGAGGATGTAAGATAATTGAAAATAATATAAAATCGCGGCGAGTAGAAGAATTATCGATATTGTTACGAGAAACTCCCGAATTTTAAGAATTTATTTATTTATTTATTTTTCTTTTTAATCTTTCTCGATTTTTCTTCTCTTGACTTCTCGACCGTCCTCGGGTTTCTTATATGCGTAATTTGATGAAGAAAATTGGCGTAAAGTTCATTGAGTTCCTCTGCATTCTTCATTTTGCTTGACTAGCGGTGCATTCTTTCTCGAAAAGTTCGTAACCTCGGCGTTCGGGGGGGAGGGTAAGACGAACGTAAAATTGTGAAGAAATGGATAAAATCCAGGCTGGGTTACGCGCGTATCGCATTTCTCGCCCACCGGTGCCCGTTGCGGTAGTGTTTTCGAGCCCCCGATTTTACTCTCACGATCTACTTTTAAGGCGGAATTCGATTTCGTATTGCGACGCTGATGGCCTCGGCTAACTAACAGACACCACAGATTAATTTTAGTAAAATCGATTAAACGTATGGGAACCCTCCAAGGCCGCCCAAACTGCCGTCGCGTTTATCTGTCACGATGACCCGACGAGCAGACGAATATCGCCAATGCAGTTAAACTACGATTGTTATTTATTTATTTTTTTTTTTAGCTCATTAAAACAATTGTAGCTCAAAGTTCGCCTAGTTTACAGGTCAAAGAACGGAAATTCAAGCAAGAAGTTTTTCGTGTAGCTTGTAAATACGTAAGAATCCTTCAAGACGGGGGCCATTCTATCGTGTTTCTCTTTGTTTTTTTTTTTTTTTTTACATTGATGTGATGCCGAGATGTGTTTTATTTTATTTTTTCATTTCCCTTGTTCCGAAAGAGCGGAAAATGAATTTATCTAATTTCATATCTCCAGATGGTAGCAATCCTCCAGCGGTTCTTTTCTCTTAGGCACAAAGGATTTATGTCTTAAGGTTATCTTCGGTATGGAATTTTATCAAGTATTTAATTAAAATTTTGCATTTTAAATTACAAATACTTCGGTATTACTGGCGTTTTTGAGCGGGTTTTCTCTTCAGTACAAGACGAGGAGAAGGACTAAAAGCAGGAAATGAGATGGTGACTTCTTTTTTTTCCTCTCCCCCCTCTCGCGAGTCCCAAGTTTAATATTATGTGAATCTGTTCCAGAGAAAAAGAGACACCGGATGTACGCAAGGAACGACGGGTAAATCCCTCTATTATATAGAGATTTGGGGTCTAATTTGGGGATACAATTTCTTTACTTTTTTTTTTTTTTCTTTAAGCTAGCGAATTCTTTAGAGGAGTGGATAAAAAGCACGTGTCTACCTTAATTAACGTGGCTGCCAGATCCCTAATAAAATGTTGCTCCGGATTGCTGTAACCAACGCGATGAGAGGGAATATTTCCGCTGGAGGGACGCTCGTGTACACACAAAAACACGCAAATACACACACCAACATACGTTAGAAGGTCAGTGCTGTAGATAAATTTCCTGTTTTCGCCGAAGTACTTCTAAGTACGAAAAATATCTGGACGATTGTACTACGCCAGGCAAGGACACGTAGGCCGTCACGTCGGGAGAAAAACATTGTAGAGATTCGTTCTTTATGCCAAACGAACCCACCAATCTTCGTAGGAATTATTGTTTATTTTTAACAGTTTGGGAGGAGTCAGAAAACTTGGCAAGGAAGGTAAGCACCTGGACATTTCCGAGAATAAAGCGTTTCTTTTCTCCTCCTCCTCCCTTTTTTTTTTAAAGAACTAATCACCTTGCTAATACCGACGCGTATTCTTAAATGCTGTGTTCTTTTTTTTCGATAAATATATGTAATAATCCTTCATGGAAATAGCACGCGCGAGTGTTTACAAAGTAATAAGAATTCTCGCCAATTTTCCTGTTTTTTGTATTCGTGCTCACCTTTTATGCAGACTTTTTCCCCGTGCTGTGGTAGGCATTTTCGACGTGTCAGATGAAAAGGTAACCATCCTAAAACCGCTCGCTCTCGCCCCCCTTCTTCACAGAGGGAAGCGAAGGGTTTTAATAACAATAACCGTCCCGGACTTTGAAAAGGAAAGGGGTAGGATTTCCCACACTTTTCCTCGTCCCTCTGGCGCTGTCGGTTACACTTCGAAGGCAACACCTGTGCATCGTTGTCGTCTGCCAGGGATGAATATTTATTTTCCTTTATTATTATTATTATTATTATTATTTCAGTTTCCCTCCTCCGAATTCGCGAAGGGGAGGAAGTAAAGGAGCCGCATCGTTGTCCCTCTTTTGTTTTTGAAACCGAGAATGTCCTTTAAAATTAGCATTTAGGTTGGAAGTTGGCAAGGGGTTGGCGTCTATTTGGGAAGTGGGTTTACCCTTTTTTTTTTTAAATTCGATTGTTTCTTGTTTTGGTTGTTTGTGTACCGTTTCGAAAGAGGAATATCTGGCGGGAAAAAACACAGGGAATAAAGTTTGAAGTTTCTCCTCCTCCTTCTTCTTCTTCTTCTCGTTTCCTCCGTGTAACGAGAAAATTAAAAACGTGTTTCCGTTATTGTTAACGAGCTCCAGACACGTTTTTCCCCCCGTGAGGTCAAGAATGGCACGGCTTATTTTCGTTTTATTACCTCTACGGGCGCTCGCGTATACGTACAACGCGCGCGTTTTTTAAAAGTAATTAAGACCTGGCCGGTTACGGCGTTAATTACGGTATTATTCGATTAACCGGATTGGCAGTAAACGGTTTTTCTCCTCCTTCCTACAGGTGCGTCGACAGCGTAAACATATACCGGATGGTTCGATACACAGATGGAAGATGGACTATTGCTGATGACGTTTCGGTGAAGTTTAATCATCATTGCTATCATCATCATCATCTGACATTTCGTGAGAGCTGAGCGTCGACGCGAACGCTTTGTAGGAGTACAGTGATGTATGGAAGGGTGGTAAACGGCGAACGTCCGACGTTCGGCCTGTACTTTCGTTTCCAACGAACTTCATTCAGTTTCATTGTTTTTCTCATCGTGGCCATCACGCCGTTAACGCAGGTGGAATCTTTAACTCAGGAATACGGTAAGTTCGTCTTGATGTATAAGGGGTTATAAAGTAAATATCTTCGTCGGCGCGTGCGTCGCCGCGCCGCCGTCGCGCCGGTGTTCTTTTCGCTCGGCGCTCGGGGTCAAAAATCTCTTCCTTAGTGGTCGACGGTTGCGTCATCCCGTCGCTTTCACTTGACCTTTTATTTCACTCAATTTATTCTGAAAGTCATTGATTTATTTATGGGTTCTGGCTGCTTAAAAATAAATAACCAGACGGAGGATTTCATAAAGAATATTAATTTATTTTTTCCTAAGTCGTGTGACGTATTATCTGCTGCCAAAGCGAAACACGTGAGAAGTAGAAGAGAAAGTCTACTCCCCCTTTCTCGTGTCCCGACGCGCGCCGTAAGCAACTATGTACCCTCGACGGAACACCCCCGCTGGCCCTCCTCTCTCTCTCTTTATGTCGTGGCATTCCTTTTATTTCCCTTTCTAGTGTACAAGAAGACCCTCCTTTCGCGGACTCCACCCCCCCTCGAAAGGACCTCGCTTTCTGGCGTAAAGTCGGCAACTTGCCTGTTCAATCAAAACGACAATCCGCCTTTAATTAGCACCCCTACGTAACCGGTTACGTACTCGTGCCGCTTCGGACGTACGTATTTACGTACGTTTAATGACGTGATGGGTGTGCGTAGACAGGCGTGTGACGTAGGGTTTAGCGTCAGGCACGTTGCGGTGTGTTTTAACAAGCGATTGTGTATTAGAAACTGACGTACGAGTAATTATCCTAATTTGTTTATAGGCAGATGTACGCCGGTGTGTTTAATACACGCAAACTGTAAAGTGGGGGTAAGTTTTAATTACCGAACGTATTCTCGTACTCGTAATGAATGGGCTTATCCCATATTAAAGTATTGATTGTACACGAGCCTGTGTTAAACGGTTAAATCACTCCGAAATATACGAACGGACACGTAATATCCGACTTTCTTGTGTTTTAATTAGTATGTAACAGGGGATTGCTTTACAAGGAACGTCCCCCTTTACGTATCAGTATTTATACAGGAACACATTAAAGATACCGTAAATAATGCGCTTTCTGAAGTAGAAACTCGCCCCCTATTGTCTCTTACCGGACCAAGTCTATATTTTAAAACCGACAATGGCAACTTGAATGCGCTTAAGCAACTATATACATCTTTAGTGTTTATCCTGTAGTGTTTATTAATAGACGTTCATAAATATTAATGCGCGATAAAGCATTGTTAGTGTGTGTGTATTACAAAGTTTTATTTATGAACGCCGGTATATTTTGGGTCCCAAAAAGCCTACGTAACCGTAACACGTAATCTCTTGTGTGTCCATCCCCCCGGTGTGCGCACCTGTGTTTAACGAAACAGATGTAAACACGGCACGTTTCGAGCCCTAACGCTTATCTCCGTCCATCCCTGCGCGACCTAAATATAAATTAAACACGTGAACAAACCCCCCCGTAATTATCCCTGATCGATAATTAATCGTGCAACGGTAACCCGATTGGCAAATCGATTTTTCTTTCCCACGTACGCTGACCTATATTCGTCGACTGGGGGGAGGTTCCGAAACACAAACTTAAGCGCATTTCTTTGGTCTCGAAGGCGCACGTGTAGTTTTGTAAGGTTTCGGTCGTCGAGTACACGCGACGTCTCGCTCCCCCTTTTCTCTATACGTCCTTTTTTTCGAAGGTAAATCAATGGTTTCGATCGATCATTAACTCCGGGCGCGTGTTTCTTCCCCCCTTTCTAACCCGCTAGCGATCTTCTGCTCCGTACCAGTAAACAAGTTCCGCCATTTTTGTAAATGGATAATGGAAGTTGTTTACTTCATACTCCCTCTCCTGGAAGTAATAATAAATGACGTATTGGGAACACGGCTTTTTTTTTTTTTAATTTAAAGACTGCTTCTGCAAATTCTGCTAATTCGCCATTACTCTGCACCGTGGTTCCACGCGAGTTGTCGCGGTTTAATTTCTTGCTCATCGATTCGCTCGATCGCACGTATACGCGTTGCGGGACGGATCTCCCGTGTTGTTTCGTTGTTGCTGCCGTTCGTTATCGGCATTCGGGTGTCTCTTACTGTAGTGGCACCCCTTTCTTCCTGTTTCGGAAGCTGGTTATACCAATGAATCAATGAGAAATATAGACACAGTTTTGTTCCCTCCGCTCCTGTTTTTTTTTCCCGGTCGTTGCCTTTTGTGAAGACATCCGACAGGATGTAGACTCTTCCACCCCCTTTTTTTTCTCGAAAGCGAAACGGGGTTCCTGTTTCTTCAGGTGGTGTTTTTTTTGTTTTTTTTGGTTTTTTTTTGGTTTAATTATATGCGTACTTCTGCGTAGTGTTTAGAGTACGCGTTGCGGAAGTTACGCTCCCCTAAGTGGAATAATTCTAACCCCTTTGAAGAATTCCTCAGGCCGTTCCGAGCTAGAAACCATTGACTTCTCGGGGTTACAAAGAGAAGGAACTTCAGAATACTCGAGTAGAATGGTTCAAGAGGGGATTCCCGTAACGAGGATCTTTTAAGAATCTGTTGATTTTCATGGGAATTAAATTGAATACGTAATTTATGAAGGCAGAATCTCAGGAGGAACTCGTTTATGTGAATTTAGGGGCTTGTAAGATTGGTGAAAATAAGAATCTATGGTTTTAAAACTACTGTTACTTGGGTAATTAGGCTATGCTGTGGTTTTTAAGCCCTATAGGGAATAGAACTCGAGGAATGGCGGTATGTCTGTAAGCTTACATCAGCATGGTATATTGTGCCCCTGTACAGTTGTGGTATAGGGGCACAGTATACTATGTTTTGCTCCTGTATCTTTTACCATTACGGTAGTAAAAGAAGGGTTTCTAGAGGAAACTTTGTATTCCATAGATTCTGCCGTTCCAAAGGCTCTGTGAGAATCTGTTGACATTTTATGGTGTTAAGAAGGTCGAGTTTACGAATTTCGGACTTGAATGCCGGGTCAAGAAATCGATAGAGCGATTCACTTTTTTATTTTATTTTGATCACAACCCAGAAGCGTGACCCGTCTCGGAATTGCCAAAAGAATTCAAACAGATGCTCGAGCAAAGGTCGAGGACCGTTAATTCGGTAATAACAACGTTGTTTTCGGGTTGTTACGGAGTCCTCGATTATGCCGAATGCCCTAGAAACGGATGGCTTGCGGGGGAATCCTGCTACAACGCGCGTTGCGAAACGCTGTAGCGGGGGAGCGGCCGCCGTATTTAAAAAAAAAACTCTTTTTTTTTAATTTGATCTGCCATTTTGTAAATTAGCGGAAAAAAAACGTTCCGATAGGAGGGCAGAGATTTTGCCATAGTTTTCGGATGAGTGTTGATGGACTCATTGTTTTGCATCGCCAGTTTCCAAAAAGGGGATGGCTTCTATTTTCATCCCGGAAATCTGCCGGTTGGATTGGATATGATCCAATTTGGCAGGTATAATATCTACACAGAACAGGTGAAAGGAAGATGTCCAAGGTACGCAGAAAATGGGGGAAAGTTAGATAATCGAATCTCCGTACGAGGTTCCCCACCCTCCCTCCCTCCGTCCCGACGTTTTCTTTCCACCTGACAACACGCCATTTTGTTTTTTTTGTTTTAGTATTTCGACGAAAAATATCATTTATTTTAAGACCTTGGAGCGGTGATATTTCTTCTTCTTCTTCCTTCGACCTTTTCTCTGTTCATTCATTACTTGTTTACGAAATCCGGGAGTTTCCTGACCTCGTGTTTTTGTAATCGGGGCGGACGGACTGGGTCGAAAAATCCTACCGCCGGGTATTATGGGTAGACTAGCTTTTGGCCGGCACGCGCAATTTTCCGAAAACATCCGTTTCTTTCCCCTCTGTTTTCTACCTGTTATTTTCGCGAAAACAGTTTTGTTTACCGCCTTTTGGAACTGTCCGGGGATGGGATTTCGTTGGGTGGGTGAGAGAGATAGACAGAGAGATACGAGGTTATCTGTGGGCGTTCCCGGGAGATTTTCCTATGTTTTCTTCGGAAATATATCAGTTCGGCGGAGATATATTTTTCGCGGTTCGACGGGGTTTTTTTGTCACTTGACCTTTCGAAAACAAGACGAGATTCGAGCCATACTGTTTTTTTCTCACCCCCTCATATTTTTATCACTGTCTCTCCTGTCTTCATTTGTCTGTCTGCCTATTTGTTTTCACGTGTTTCGTGTGTTGTTATCGTCGGATATTTGTCGATTTTGCAAATAACTGCTTGTTTTTTCGTGCCGTTTTGATACTTTCTGTTGTCGTCTCGCGGTAGATAATGGCGGAAACGAAGCACATTGTTACTTCGAAGTGTGCTGAATGACTTCTGAATTGTTGCAGGTGTCTCCGTCCTCCATTACTCTCTCTCCTTTCGGCTTTTTAAAATCAAATTATCGATCATTTACACGCGTTAAATGGCCGCGAATTAAATAATTCGAGTTTTTATAGCCGCCATTTTCGATTTTTTTTTTGCGGGGGGAATGTTTTTCTCGTGTCGTTCCGCCGACTTCTCGCCCATTTCGACGAGTTCCTCGACTGTTTTTTCTATGTCGTTTCTCCCTCCCCCCCGCGAAACTCGACGTTTGTCTCGCGTTGGTCGTCGGTTCGTGTGTCTGGCGAACGTAAGACGAGAAAAAAAAAGAGGGGGGAGGTGACGCCGTACGTGACGAGCGCGTGAAATCGCATACGTTCGTCGTGGATGGTAATTGGAACATTTGGTCATGGTCTCATTGAATCCTGGCACTGCGAGACGTCTGGCTTTCACTTGTCCCAATTTCCTTATCTGGGCCCTCCCGAATCCGTTCCTCCTCCCGTCGAGCGAAGAGGCGAAGTAAAAATAATTAGGGGAGGGGAGGAAAGAAAACGAGAATCGACGGGTAGGGAGCTAGAATTCGGAGAAAAACGGACGTGAGGGGGGTTGGAAGTTCCATTAAATATTTTCGACTTTTCGTAAAGTATCCGTAGCTTTTTTGAAAGACGATGCATTGCTCTGGATGCG